TTTTTTTTTTTTAACTGAGGCCAGTTCTGTGGATCATACCTGCAGAACTAATAGCCACTTCCATGGGAGAATGTAAACACTCATATAACAGAATATGGAAGATCATTCCTCAAGAATCAAGTCCCATATCTCATGAAACCAGGAATTACTGCTACACTTTGTGTTTTAGTCACTGCCTTTTCCCTTACTACCTCCTCATATAATTCTGAATAAACAGAGGTTCAATCAAACAGCGACCATTTCTCTTACCGGAGTGAGTGCTCCTTCTGCTTGAGCTTCCATAGGACTTGTAGGGGTGGCTGCAAGAAGCTGTCCAGCAGCTCCAGACAGAAGTTCCAATTTATCTGTAAGCTGTTCAGAAGCAGCAGGATGACACTCCATGGCTAGAACAAACTCCACCCCTGAGGTCTGGTTCTTGGCATGGACACTGCTTCCTGCCCAACCACCCTGTCTGGGCTGCTCTTCTGGAGGGGTCTCCTCTAGAACTTGTAGTACCTCCGGCTCTTCATCTGAGGGACTTCCAGTCGTTTTGTGCCCTAAAGCCTCATTTGTCCTGAAGTCCTCCAAGTCCCGTTCCTTATCTATTATCACCCATTCCTTAGAATCAACCTCCTGCCTGCAGGAGCTTAAGTTGACAGCTACAAATCCATTGCTAACAACACCATCAACATGTTCTGGAGAACTAGCTGACACAGGCTTTGAAGCGTCTGGAAGATATTCTTCATCATAGTGCCAAACATGGTCCATGCGGGCAGTCACAGGAGCAGGAACGGGTGTTTTCTGAGAAAGAGGAGGAACGGCAGCAACAGGAGTGTCTGCCGCAGCATTCAAGTCTTTCTGCATCTTCTCCAAACTTAAGAAAAGAAGTTAATATCTGAATTAGTTACGAATTAATTAAATAATGTAAGCTACATTTGCGTTTTTTCAGTAGAGGAAAACTAGATTTATATTAAAATTTGTTGTCATATTTTAGAACAATCTACAATGGTTGAAAGATCTGCAATTTCGGAAAAATAACTCTGATGTCAAGTAAAAATGGGCGGATGCTCTTAGAAATTTGCACATATTGCAAGTGAAATTGTAATGTATTGTATTGTAAATGTAATTACCAGAAGGGAGAATAGTGAGTGGATACCAGCTCAGTGGTGAGGCTACCACCAGATGTCCACTGTACTTAATTTATGCTTCAAAACAGAGACTCAAAGCAGAACAGAAGAAAACAGATGTCTCCAGCAGCAGTTAGTAGATGCTTTGAAGAAGAATGTTATTGATTGTTTTGATTGATTCCTTATTTATGCTTTGCATAACTTGCTTAATCAAACAAACCCATATTCCTAACCCCCCTATGATGTATTTAGAAGGATTTTGCCACTGTCAGCATCTCAGCTGTCTTCTACTGTCCCCACTCAGCCTCTGCCTTTCAGTCAGATTTCACTGTGTCCTTCTCCCCTTATTCTTTCTACACATAGGCAAATTGATTGAATCTGTTCTCATACATCTGTCTCTTCTCTACCCTCAAATTCCATTTTAAGACCCTGGTCTTCTATCAAGCTTTTTTTACGTTGGTGCAACACCTTTGGGCATAACTAAACCTGCTGCATACAGGTAGATTTCTAACTTCACTTCATAACTCCACTTCTCGTAAACTGTCCTTCTCATGTCATATAATTTAACCCCATGTTACCTCTATTGAGCACCTGATGTCATCATTGTTATTTAGGATGAGTTGTACTGACTGTCAAGAGTATCCCACTGAAGAAAAAGGTAATAAACATCAGGATTACACCACTAGGTCTTGAAATAAAAAATTCTCAAGTGTGGAAGTCCAACTTTAACTGTATACTAGCACTAATCTTTTTTCAAAGAAGCTGCCAAGTGGTGAAATCCATTAATCGAGCAATATTATGAACATAGTAAATACTTTGCTGTAGCTTGCATAAGCATAACTCAGCAGCTCCATTCCTGGTTTTCACATGGTAGAGGAAAGATGACAGTGTCTTAACTACATATCCTGAAAAGATCAAAGCATAAAAATAAAATAATTTCTTTACCAGGTCTCAAGAAATTTATCAGTGTCTGGCTTTGACTCCAATGTCAGACGCTTCTCCAGTTCAAAGCTGTGAATTGAACGTAACTTTCGCACCAGTGGGACATCTCTGTCTAGCTGGGTGGTCTCTGAGCGAACACGAATTGGAGAACCGAGACTCGGTGCATTAAGCATTCCATTCACTGGCCCATGGCTGTTTTCTTCCTCTGTGGCAGCCTGTGCAAAAAGTAAGGTAAAAATGTAACTCGCTAAGAGTGGCAAAACAGAGGAAGACAAGGTACTACATGGTGAAATACCATCCAGGTTTTCAGCCAGTGATAAGCTAATTTGTATTTGTAATGGTTTGTATGTTCATGCCATAGTTAAGGTAGTTTAAATTATGCTCTTCAGCACACACCTGCAGCAGACAGAATACTAGTAATATACTACTTCTGGGTAGGCCTGAGAACAGGAGTCTCAAAAACCCAGTAATACACTTATATTTACTCTGATATTTCACACCCATCTCTGATATTTTCTTTAACAATAGTCTGAAACGCGGCACTTGGTAGCATCTTCAGTCTGCTTTACAGTCAAGCGCTCTTATTAAAGAGAAGTTAATTTCCAAGCCGTCTTTATGATTCTCTGGAGCATGTAGTAACACTGTTATACACTAAATCTAGTAGATATTTCTGTGACTTAGAACTATGTTTTAGTCCAACTGCATTCCATCTTGTATGCAGCTGGACATGATCTAGAGCCGGGAAATCATGACCATCCCTAGTTTCAACAGGTATAACTAATAGAAAATGTCTTTGTTTAAACCAGAGCAATCTCCTTTCTCCCTCTTTGACAAAAAACAAACAAATAAGCACATTTGAAAATAGGCACCATGGCTTATTATTTCCCACAACACATTTTTTCCTAGTAAATAAGAAGTAACAGCCTCAAAACCAGACAGCTCTCCTAGCTAAAGAACATTTCAGTAGCAGATCTCTCTTCATGTTCAAAACATTTATATACCAAGAAACAGGGCTACATTTGTCAGAGTATGAAATGCTGTGATTGTGAGCAAGGGAGACAGGAACCGTTTCGCAGAGACCACTTTTCAAAATTAAGCAGCATTCTCTTCTAAAGACTAGCCCATGAACCTCTTTGGATCAGTACAAAGGTATCATATCTTATGGAGACAAAAACACCAAGTGAATTAAATAGATACTGCCAATCACACTGTCAATCTGTCAGTTGAAGAATAACATTAAACCCGGTTTTGTGTATTCAGTATCTAACTTCTACACATGCAAGATGCAGGAAATTTGCTTTGGTTTCATTCAGTGAGCAAGAATCAAAATCATGCCTGAATATGAATAAACTACACAGAATCTCAAATTATCAGCAATCTATTATTCATCATAAAGACCTGATAAAGTGATACAAGGCCTAAAAGCTTGTCTGCTTCTTCCAGTATATAAATCGCTCTAACAGAATGTGTTAGATTTACCATCTTGTTTTCTTAGACCATTCTGGCTAATCAATATTAGTAAGACTGCACTATTAATTATATCTTATGTGCAATATGAGGACAGGAAACTGTTTGAAGATGGTCTTCGCAATGCACATTTGAAAGTACCTTACAGATCCCTAGTTTTATTTTGTTTCTGTTTGCATCCATTTCTTCCCAAACATCTTTTTCCTGAGGACGCTGATGCCCAGGGGATCCAGGTAGTTTCTCTGGTGAGACACCAACTGGAATTCCATTCTCTCCATCACTGAGCTGTTCATCAGGAAACACTTCATCTGTGTTTTCTCGCAGCAAATCTCCTGGGATAGGAGTGGCATTGGCAATTCTACAAAAGTTGTTTTTAAAAAAAAAAAAAAAAAAAATCGGAAAGGTAAAAATTTTGAGCTCTAATGTGTTTCTTGAAATTATTTTCTACTCTAAATCATTTTCTACTCTACTAAAGAAAGAAACAAAAAATTACAAGCAAAAGCATGCTTCTGTAGAAAACTAAATCTTGTAAATTATTCAAAAAACCTACTTCTTGGCTTTCACAATTTATGTTTCTTTAATTTAGGCACATAACAAAAGGTGTAAATCAAAAAACAATCACTTAAAACTTGGGTTTTTGCGAGTTTTCAAAGCAACTTCTAAGAAAATTTGTTAGAGATCAGGTCCAGGCTCAACTTCGCTCCTGACTCTTCTACACATATTTTTCTATAAAAAAAATTCATGGCAACTTTCATAATATAGTTTCCTTTTCCCCCAAATTTGGTAGAATAACAAAACATACTGTGTGAGGAAGAGAGATCACTCAGCAAACTAAATGCAGTTTTAACCACTATTCTTATCAAAGTACTATTTTGGTCCAATTACTGATAATCAAAACATAAGCATAACGCTAACAAGACATTACATTTTAATAATCCCAGTGACTTGGGACTAAATAGGGCTAAGGCTTAGCTCATCTGAAACAGAAGCAATGCTATCCCTAAAAAGTGAATGGTCAGAAAGTTATTTCTTTAAAGTCACCAAAATTGTTAACTGCAGCCAAGACTATCAATAACTCCAGTGTGATGCTTAGTGTGGTAACAGGACTGAATCATGTGCAAAATCCCTGTCAACGTCAGTGTGTTCAATAGTGCACACTGCACACCTGTGTAATATTAACACCAGTTAATGTCTTGACTGACATTTATTTCAACACTTTTTTTTTTATAATTACATAGAAATACTGGGAATTAAATACATTCTACATGAAATTCTAGCATTTTTCAGCCTCACTACACTGTTAAAACTCCCAGGTCACAACCTTCGTGATTCTTAGATAAAAAGTCAATGCCTACTCAAGGCCTAGAACAGGCACGAAGTCTTCCTCCTCACCCACAAACACCTCTTATATTCTCCAATCCCCTGAGATAAGTATGGGTATTATTAAACACCACATCTCGTCCAACTTACTTAATTACAGAAGGTCTCAAAGACCACAGTAAATATTATTTTAAACACGACCAAAATCTATTTCCAAATTTCCTATAAAGATCCATTCATTTTCAAAGTTATAAGGAATTTGCAGCTAGTATTTTATTCCAAACTTACAGAAAACAATGGGTTATTTCCAGGCAGTTAAACTCAGGACGCATCATTTAGTTTCACAAAATATGATTTAGCAAAGGACAGACTAGCAAATTTACATGCAATTTCCTGAGCTACTATTTTTTATTGCTATAAATTTAGGGCTGTAGTGCTGATCTTTCAGGATAGTATAAACAGGAACCCTAAAAAGGGAAATATTTCAAATGTTCCCAAACCTCCATTCCTCTATTTATTCAACATCCTGCAGAAAAAACCTAAATTATGGAGATAATTCCCCTTTGGTACTCTGCGGCTGCTTTTTAAGTGACCACAATGTGCATACTTACCCAATTGCAGCCGGAGTAAGACGGGTGTGTAACTGAGGTGTGGTTGAAGTTGTTGTTGTTGTCAGAGAGCCGTCAGTTCCACTCTTCTCCCAGTCAAAAGGGTCACTTTCAATAACCCCAAACGTTTTCATGCTATTGTCAAACACAGACATGAGAAGCTAAAAATGAAGAAAAAAAGTTAATAAGCTTCATTTTTGTCTAAGAGACCAAGCAACTAAGAAATATCCTCCCGTAATACTTCAACATGTCTCTTCTTTAAGACTTTGACAACAATTTTCCAAAAAAAGGACACAGCTCTTTATATTAACCATTCTTCCAAGATTTCAAAGTCAAGATATGCAAAATTCTGGTTTATTTAAAAAAAAAATTTAAAAAAACCACATCTGTGTTTTTATCAGTAAAGAGACACAAAGATACACCATAGGCTTCCATAAAAAGGCAGAAAGACACACAGAGGCATGACTACATTGCTGCAGAATAGCATTCAATGGCTCTCCAGCAGAGCAAGATAAAAGAATATATTCGGTAACACCATTAGAAACCAAGGAAATGAATGAGGAGTACATAGGGAAGGATACTGATTTGCCAATTCATACATTTCTGTCATTTAGAACCATGTATCATTTATCTAATGCTTACATTCATCCCACAGAAATGTCACACTGGAAGCTTTCCACCCTCATTTTATGCTACGAAAAAGCATCTAGAACAATTTGTGTCCATGACAGAGAAAGAAATTGCATCTACTCTCCTCTCCCTGTGAAAAAACTTTGTCTCATTCTAGTCACTGGTGGGAAGGCTGTGTCCATATCACATCATCTCTTACTCCGTAACATTTCTAAAATTAATCTTTTTTTTTTTTTTTCCTAAAAGCTAAACCTCTAGTTTTAATTCTTTTGTCTAATCTAGGATGCTGAAAATTTTTCTCTGGCCTCCTTTAAAAACACATACCCTTTGGCAACTTAAAACAGATGGGAATTTTGGATCATTTTTCTTGTATAAAGTGGTCGTATCCTTTTATCCTTACTCAAGAACCTTCAGTGTGCCATCTATCCCAGTCAGTTCTGAAACCCTACTGAACTGCACAAAGCCATAGGCCACTCTCTGTCCCATACGTACTCTCCTTTATTCTCCTCTTCCTATAAACCTTAAGCAGTCTCTCTGAAGTAATTTTTAAGGTCATTCTCCTTTAAATCTTTTCTACAATTTCTGTTATAATGCAAATACAAACTCAAATGCTTAACGATGTCAGGAGGCTGAGGCAATGTGTGCATAAATACCTGAATAAAATAACATATCTGACATTGCCAAATCAAACACGGATTCTGGGCCTATGTCATGAACTTTTTAGACTGTAAACTTCTCAAAGCAGGGATCTTGACCATGTACATTCTTGTTCAGTGCCTAACCGTAAATACGAACAAAGAATGATATATATTGAAGGTATGAATAACATTGCTACAACAAATACTAGTTAAGAGAGACCAGAGCTTAAATGACTATGGAAAAAGTAAAGCACTTTCACCGCCCTAAATAAAACCACCCTGCTCTGGTCTAAAGCACACAAGCAAGACCATGTCGGAAGGCTCAGGCTGCAGCTACACAACTGCAAATGTTCCATGACCAACCAGAGGACTGTAAATTACTGGGCTGTCTCTATCATGGGGAAACTCTGTCCTGATACCACGCTAATCCCTGAATGCAGGTGCTGTGTTAGATACAAGTAGACCACAGAAAAAGGTTTTGCAAAAATATGCCTGTGTATATGTTTTATCATTCAGGATATATAATGTAACTAAAACATATTTACCAGTCTACAATCAAGGTTTTTCTATGCAACATCAAAATTTCTGCAATCAGTAATTTCTACCATAGAAGAAAAAAATAAATCTGATTCATCTTTATAACTAGGCACACAAAACACTCAAAACTTTCTTAATCATTTTCCTCGCTTAATTGTAAACTATAGAATAAATTGCATGGAAATTTGTAATACAAAAGGAAAAAAATCAAGGTATTTATTTTTCAGAAACGCTGAACATTTTCTGTATTTGTAATAAGATTTTTTTTTTTACATTCAAATTTTTGCACAAAAATCGATTTTTTCTTTTTTGCAAATGTGCAGAAGAATATACCGGTACATTTAGAGAAATTCAGTTACTAACAGGAAATTAGTTATCCCTTGAGATTTCCAGTTCTTATTTCCAATCTTATATATCTTGATTTCTCTGTTAATCTTACCAAGTAAAGCACAGGAATCATTCCTATCAAAGTTACAATTCCAGAATTAGTCAGAATGATTTATTTATTCAATTGAACCAATTCAGGTTGCACACCAGCAGAAAACCATTCCTTCTGGTTTTGCTGAGTTAGTGAGCGGAACAAATGCACAGAGGCAGACAGGTAATGCAAGTGGGAAGCTGACAGGAATGTGTGTTTCTGGGAGCCAGAGGGAAGGAACACAGGGACAACTTGTTGTGGTGTGATGTTAGATTGGTTCAACTTCTCCCACAGTTTGAGAGACTGAAAAAACTCTCAGTCTCTCCCTCCCCGCCTTTCCTGAGCATTCCTCTGCTGCTTTCCATATACTGCTATAGAACGAAGTTCTATCTTTGAGTTTTATTTATTGTTAAATCATGGGTCAACACTGAGTGAGTAAGACACATATTCTACAGCATATCCTCTTGGCACCTTATCACGGAGCTGAGGCTGCCCATTTCAGCAGGCAATACTCTCAAACACAGAAAAACGTCTAGTTTTCTGGTGATCTCTGTAAGCAATACTTCAGTCTTAAAAACCCACCATAGCTGCATGTTGTGCTCTAGCTGTGTATAGTGTAGGTGCTGAGCTCTAGATTTTGGAAAACTGCCAGAATGACTATCACTGAGAAAACAATCTGATCGATTTAACTTAAGAAGCACCCACTAGAGGTTACGATAGTAGGATAGCACCTGATCCTAACAGAATACTGACTGCAAAGCAACTGTCAATTGTTTTTAGAAACTTAACTGCCTTACTCTTCCCAAATGGAAAAAAATGATGTCTTTGAACCACAAAGTTTCTGTGGCACTAGATGGTCATTAAAATAATTGTGGTGGCACAATCCATAATCACTACCAAGACTACACAATGAAATCAAAGGAAATTGAAAATGAAACAGCATAAAATTCTGCTACTTAAAAATCAGAAAGACAAAATAGTAAAAATGTTTACCTGGTAATCAGGCTTTGTAAAGTAATCTAAATTAGAAATGTGATCCAGAAAGACGTTGAATTCTTGAGGAAGATGTTTCAACATAAGTCTGTGCTCGTACCTTTCTTTAATGGAGCCCACTTGCTCCTAGGAGTAAATAACACAACAAACATTAACACGCCTTCATTCTCTGCCACAACATATTCATCTTGTATCTCACAACCATTTAATACACTACTGGCCCGAAAGATGGGTAAGTACATTACACTGAGTAGTACCGAGGAAGGCCATTCTACATTAGATAGCAAGATAAGAGATTTTGTCATCGCCCTCAGTACACATGCAAAATGATGTACAAACTTCAAATTCAATATGAAAAGCCATTTAATTTTCTGCTTGAATGGGCCTGATATCAAGGACTGACATTAGACACTCCAACACTTCTAAAAAGCATGTTTTAAAGATTTAAATACTGCATCATATGAAGTTCAGTCACTTTTTGGTGTGTATTTGGTCATCACAGTATATTGCATAAGATTACTAAATCCTGTTTAGTGTAAGATGAGTAAATCAAAACCAAAAAAGAGGCGCTACCTATACGCCACATTGTCATCTCCCAATGCATAAACCACATCAGAGAGTAACCTTGTTTCAATCTAATTTCAAAAGAAGTTGAAAGAAGTAATAATAGGCTAATTAGATGTTGCTTCTTCGCATACCTCACTTATGATACATGACTAAAGGCACTACTGCATATTGACTGATTCACTTTTGTTCACCAGCAAGTAAGAAATGCCCATTTCACAAATAATCAAAAGAGATAAAAAATTCTAAATGTGTGATACGTGAAATCAAAAAGTGAAAACAGGAAAATTAAATAAGTGGCATATATACACTTACTTTTGCCTTTTAAAACATTTGCAAACTAGAAGCACCATCCACTTCCTGCCTAGAACAGTTCGTAAAATTTGATTCCTTTTTATACCATGACACTAGCAATGAGAACTAACACTAAAAAACACTGCAAAATGTAATGTTAAAATTAATGAACCAGTAATTCTCCGTGATTCTTTATCGCAGCATTCGCTTGCAATCCAGAAGTAAATCTCCCTCGTGCTCTCTGGTTTTGCTTCTAGGTTTACCTTATCTTTTATTTTTCTCCAAGGCAGTTGCCCAACCACAAATTCCACCAACATGTAGAACAGGGACCAGAGGTCATCATGCCGGCCCATTTCCTGTGAAAAAGAAATATTATTCTAATGCATCTTACAAATACCTATAAGACAAAAGGGAAGATAGATTCTTTACTGCTCTGGAGACTTAAATTATTATACATAAAAATTATTATATATAAAAATTAATATAATCAACACTGCAAAACAAGTTCGTATAATTATATCCAGCAACTATTTTAAGTAGAAACATACAAGTAAATTTCCATAGAAGATGCAGAGAAACAAAACAGTTGTTGAACTGTGTTAAAATAGCATTGCAAATCTCTATACTGGAAGAGCTGTTTATTCATATTTCTTTAGTGTATGATGTTAAGACGACATACTGGACATTATGTATTTTATAAAGCTCAGCAACTTCACCTTTTTAACTTACTAACTTACCATACAATTGAACACCAAAGTTAACTGTTAAAACCATGATTATTTCTACAAGAACTTTTTTTACCCTTGGCTACTGTAAAATATATTATCTTTTCCCAAAATTTATAAGTATTAATTTCTACATAATAAATACACACATAAGAATACAAAAAAGGAAATCAACTGCACTACTGACTGCTTTCAGCTACATGAGATAGATATGATACAGATTGAGATACTCACTCTGTTTCTATGAGCGTTGATTGATGCATATCGTACTGTTCCACGAAAACCAGCAACAGCTCGTGGCTGTCAAAGAAGAGAAAAAGAGAAAGATACTCATTGCCAGAAATAAACCCTCTGACTACTTAACTTGGCATCTACAAAGTGAGTCTGGAGCCACAACAAATATAATTTGAGACTTTTTGTTTTATTTCAATTTACCATGTTTCTACAAGTTCTCAGTAGAAATCCAAGTAGGCACCACAGTGTGACATATTGTCATAGTTTTTTTAAACCATCTACTTGTATCAGTTTTTGTTCTCCACAGACATCAAGTCCTGTTTACCTCATCCTTCAAAAAAGCTATATGGCAGAACTATTCCTCTTTTTTCTCCAATAATGAAATTATTTCTTAGTTTTAACTATTAGAAGTTTGAGGTTTTAAATTCTCACAGGACCTAAACCATAATGATTTCTTCCACTTTGCTAAAATATACCAATATTACATGGTATGAACAGAAAACCAGCCATTTATTGAAAAGTGCTAGCAACATTTTCACAAATTATTTTCTGAACTAGCAAACCAATCAATTTTTTGAGAAATTCCAAAAGCAGGGAAAGCCACGGGTAAGTCTCAAACCTGTGGCTGAGCAATAAATAGCAAGGGCTGCACCACGGGCACCAATTAAATATACCTCTTTCTTTTCTAGTTTCTGAACACCAGCATTTCCTTCCTAATACTCTAGATATTGTATCATCATAAGTCAATTGGTGTTTTATAATCACAGAATGTATTTTCCCATCGTTCTTTCCTACAAATAAAATGTTACAAAAATAATATCATTGATAATAGTCATAATTACTAACCAACCAAAAAAAAAAAAAAAAAAAATATCAAACCGTGGTGTTATTACTTTGCCTCAGACAGATATCCAATCCATGCTAGCCCCTTAATTAAACCTTCCATATAGAGAGAACTGCCAGAACTGCTAATTTTGCTTTCTTTTACACAGTCTTATCTTCCCAATCAATAATTCTTTTTGTTTTCTCTAACAGTGAATGTGAGAAACTTGATTTATCTTCCTCACCTCTGACTTGTACTTAAAGGGCTATTGGTGATCTGCCTGCCTGCCCCAGACTCAAGATAACTCTTAAGATTTTAAAAAAATTTGCACAACACATTGAAAAGTCACAATACAAAATTATTACC